AAACATCTTGTTCTACAGAAAATATGCCTTCTCGAAAAGATTTATTCATATACAAGCACTGAAGTATACTGTTGGCATAGCATGTTGCACCAAGATTTGTGAGACCTGCAGGAGAATTAGCAGATGCCCGAAGATCCTTGGTTGGATCATGACCAAGACTTTCAACAAAATCAGACATCTTTTGCCATAAGCCCGACTTTCGGGCTCCATTTTGAGGTGGAACCAAGGCACAGAAGCAATTTGGGTTGTCTTTGCTATTGACCCGACAACCTGAACAAACTGGCTTCCAAATCATATACAAATGATTCATATCATCCTCAGTTACCACACCAGTATTGTGAATTTTCCTATACAAAAGACATTTTAAAACAATGAACAGCTACAGCTAACAGTATAAAATTTCATTTCATAAACTAAAAGCAAAAGTTAGTTGGCACCTCCATATTTCACCAGTGCCGTTGTCATCATCCCCTTGTCTCTGTCTTTTATTTTTACTTCGTGTTGTTGGTCTACTCATTCTATAACATAAATACAATATAGTCCTGAGAACAACATAACAAAATAACTTTTCTAGGGCAACAAAATGATAAATACCAATTCAATAATACCATATCCCTCAGTTTTTTTAAAGAAAAGGGATATATCATATCAAAGGAACATCATATTCATATCAAATGCATCACTTGCCAGCATGCATCCTAACAATGTAACTCATACTTAAAAAGTATATGATTGCATGTAAGGCATTAAAAATAATTTTTACGGGGTAGTGGTTATCACCGGTCTAAGCAGGTCTAAGCAGACACATTACCGTCACCCCACCCCACCAGCGTTTCGGCTTCCACGTTTTGGCTATATCATTAAAGCGCGCATAAAAGGGCATAAACAAAATTTGACATAACCGATGAACTTAAAAGAACCCTAAAATTTTCTATGTAATTCCAAGACCGAAAAATTATAATGTTTTGAAAGAGTCGAACTCGTTGTGAAGAATAATCAAAATGGTAAACAAATACTTTAACTAATGATATATCAAGGGAGAAGAAGTGTTACCTGAGAGACAGAGAGGAGAAAAACAAAACCTCTATGAACTGCAAGATCAAAACACTTCAGATTCTGGGAAACAGAAGAAAATATAGGGAAGACACAATTTCAATTAATTTTTTACTTTTGTAGGAAATTACTGAATGTGAATGAAGAAAATTACAAAATTACCTTTGAGGTAGCAGAGGAGGGAAGGGTGAGAGTGAAATAAAGAGAAGGAGTGAAGAGAGAGAGGAGAGAGATTGGATTGAAAAGGGACAGAGGTTGGTTGGGTTTGGATGGGAATGTCATGTCAGAACTTAGAAGGGGGAAACGGATGGGTCAAGTTTGAGTCAGAGGACTCGGCTCCTGTGCCAGAGGTTACCCCTACATAATTACTTTTTATCTCTTTTACATTATCATCACTCTTTTATTTTTATTATTATTAATATTTTCTTAAAATGATATGGTTAATTCTAATAAAGAACCCAGGTGGTTAATGACAAATTAATTAATACATTAAATAATAAATTAATCCTAAGAGTATGGTAGAGTAAAACAGAATAAGGTGGCATCTTCTATTTTTTAATATTCCGTAAAAATATGATAAATGAAATAAATAAACTTTTATTACATAAAAAATTAATAAAAATGAGGTTATTTTTTAATATTTTTAATTATTTATTATTATTTTAATAGAATAAAATTATGTGTTTTTTTCTTATAATTTATTTTAGGTTAGTCTTAATTTAAATTGTGACAAAAAAGCATAATTTATATATTTCCGCGTAGATCAGAACTTTTTATCTGCAAATTTGTTGATTGTTTCTTTACCTTCATCAGAATATTTTTATAAATTTACGCGCAAATTCATTGTTTGTTCCTCTGACAGTTTGATCAGGGTATTTTTTAATTTATGTCCAAAATTATTCTTTATTCCTCTAAATTTAATCATAATATTTTCTTAAAATTACGCGCAAATTTATTTTTTTTCCCTCTGTCAGTCTCTGATCATAATATTTTCATAAATTTACGTGCAAATTAGTTTTTCTTTCTTAGGGGGTCAAAATATTATTATATATAAATTTACGTGCAAGTTTCTAAGTCATATTCTTTGTACACCCTTTTAATCATAAATTTAAATAACTAAATACATATTAAATTAAGAGTATATTAATAATAATAATAATTAAATAATCAATTTTATAAACAATATATTTTAAAAAATAATTAATATAACCTATGTTAATTTTATTTAATAAATTATACATATTTATTGTTTATTTATAGTTTTTTCTTATACTTTTCTTTCTTTTCTTTATCTTTTTCTTTTTCACATATTTTTAATTAAAATTATTATCAAAATTTAATAAAAAACATGTTAAAGTAAAAATTTTAAAATCAATGTTAAAATTAAAAAATATCAATTAATTATTTGAAATTATAGTAACAATAAATACATTTTTTATGATGATAATAATTAATTAATTAATAATTATTTTATTATAATAAATTAATTATTCATCTAATTAAAAAATATTATATTATAAAATATATTTTATATTTGAAAATTTAATTTAATTATGATTAAATTGAATTGTGATTAGATTAAGTAATTTAAAAATAAATATTATATTTTTCTTAATAATTATAATATAATAATTGTAATAATTCAAAATTTATCATATAATATTTTTAAAAATATAATATATAAATTATAATATTTTTAAGTAATTTAAATATTTTTATTTTTTATGAATAATAAAAAATATCTTATAAAATTGTAATCTATTTTTTCAATTAAATGAATAAGATACAGTGAGAAATATAAAAATAAAAAATAAAGAGAGAGGAGAAAAAAACCTAAATTAAAAATAAAATAAAATAAAAAATAAATATGAGAAAAAAATTAATTACATTATATTTTATTATTATTATTAAATTTTACATATGAATCATAAACTTGTTTAAATAAATTGATAAATATTTTATTTATATTTTTTTAATTTATTAATTTTGAGATTCATTAAACATTCATATATCAAACATTAAATCATTAATAAATAAATATTATTATAAAAATTTATCTATTATTATAAATTAAAGGACATAGTCATGCCTTTAAAAAAAGAATTTTAAATATAGAAACTGTCAAATACCAATAGCCAAAGAAGAAATTGGGACGTACCAATAAGTATTGTTATGAACATTCCAATTAATAACTATTAATAAATAATAGAATTTAATGTATTTAAAGGGTTAAGAGAATTAAATTTTGGATTTGATAATAGCTTATCTCATCATTTAATATAAAGTTTAGAAGGTTTATAATTATAATTTTTTTTATATTGCATTAAAAACAAATATAAAAAAAAACACTTTGATATTCAAAGACTATAAAATTTCAGTTATATTTTATTTTTCTTTTAAATTTCTAGCATGGTTATGTTAAAGAAGATACTTTTTTTAAATTATGATTATGTTTAGGTAAATTATTTCATAAATATAACAAGAAAAAAAATTGAGTTAAAGATTAATTTTGTTCTGTGCTTATTACTCACTTAACATATTTGTGCCCACTAATTGATTTTTATGTAGAAGCTTAACCATTACAAGAGTATATATGTTTTATCCATGTCACTATATATTTTATATATTTACTACACGAATTAAAAATATCTGATAATTACTATCTAGTTTTTTCTACATTTTAGCCAAAGATGGTGTTCATATATGGGTGTCAACAAACATTATCACCTACTTAATAATATAATAATAAAAAGGGGCTACAGAGTAATTAATAACTCTGCACGAGTTAGCATTCCCAAACGGCGCTATTTATATTGAAAATGACAAAACAAATAAATTTATATGTCAATATAAAACTTGAAACCCTTGATAAAAGTATTTATTACATAAATTAATAAAATCAAACTATAAATATGATCAGATAACAGTTTATATAAATTTTCTTCTGAAAATTTGTTCTTCCATAAACTAACACAATTTAAATATAAATTAACTAAACAATAATAACTTCATTACAATCTTCATAAGAAAATAATAATAGAAAGAATAGGTGATGAATAGTTCACGGGAACTCAGTTCAACCTATCCGGTGGATGGATTAAAAGAATAGTTCACGGGAACTCAGTTCAACCTATCCGGTGGATGGATTGAAAGAATAGTTCACAGGGAACTCAGTTCAACCTATCCGGATGGATTGAAAGGTTAGTCCACAAAGCTATATCATAGTCAAAATAGAGACACCTATAGTAATGAAAGAAACCTGACCTCTCACAAGAACAGAACTGATCAACCACAAAGGTTGAGCAGGTGACATATCATTTCCCAATATAAAAGCTCAATACCTCCATCACAATTGAAACCTTTTCGGTCCTCTCATTAGTTATGCACATGTCTTAAGAAAGTCTCCTGCACAATTTTAAATATCTTTGTCTGGCACGATTTTAACCGACCAATAAATAATCCAAGTATCCACACTGTTAATTTAGGGAATCGATGAAACAATGACCATGTAAATGAACAGTGTTGTGCATGCGTAGAAGTACAATAATTAATGTTTAAACGAATGAACAATACTTATGGTGAAATACAGTATATACAAAATACCAGGACATTGGACTAAAGAGTTCCAGTCAGCTACTTCAGTCCTTATCCTAGAATGAAATTATAGGCCGTGGATGCATACAATTTAAATCCATTAAACAGAATGGATAGAAATCCAGTTCTCAAAATTTTTCAGGATATAATGTCACATAAAACCGAAAAAATAAAGCCAAAATTGCCTTTACGCACAAACAATCCGTGCATTCTATACCACAAATCAGGAGACGTATCAAAGTATTTCAACACTCTTTTTGTTGCAAACCCAAACCAAATATACCCAGTTTGTGTCCAGAACAAGGGACGAGACATGTCATCCGAACAGCTGAACAATAAAGAGGGCAGTTCTTTTAATCAACTTTCTCATCCACACATGCCCTTTCTGGTACTTCCCCAATCTCAGAGCTTGAAGCACTTCCAGGACTACTGCCTGTGATTATACTCTCAGCTGCAGATGCCCTAACATTCTTAACTGCATCAGTCACACTATTGACCGTATTTGGAGTCCCTGTGTTTGGAGAAGTAAGACCAGATATACGCTCATCCAATTGCTTCGGTTTGTTAAGGGCATGACAATGTGGGCAGTAGTATGTGATAAATGGGAAATCCTCCTTACGGGCTAAACCTGATAGAAAATAAGTAGATATAAAACATACACATACCCAACCAACATTATCTGATGCAAATAACCAAAAAAACACTAGTATAATCATCTTTATGTAAAAAGGATTTGAGCATAAAAAATCAAATCTAACCCCCTTACCATTATGCATATAGCAGTTACCACATATGAGAGCATACGACTGTGCCGGATCCTCACCCACAAGCAAAGCTGCAATTCGTGCAATCCATCCAGCATCTTGTGTGCTTGAACTTTGAGGTTGGTGATGTTCAACAACAACAAGCTGATTGTCCTCAAAAGTCTGAGTTTGATCACTTCCCCCAGGACCAACTTGTTGATCACCAGGATGTGGTGTGGTTGCCCGCGGACTAATGCTTCTAGATTGAATTTGTCTCCTATTTCGAAGTCCAGAGGACTGCACAAGTTCAACATCATAGCTCTTCCCTATTGGAGTGCTGGAATTGTGCTCATCTTCCACATACACTCTCAAACCAGAATCTGCACCCAACTTAGATGCTAAAATAGTTGCAGCAGCCGCTTTTGCAGCTGGGTCTGGATCATATCTCTGAATAGATCACAAGCATCACACAATAATATTAGCACACATAGCTGGTCTTCAGCAATGCACTTTAGAGTATACACGTGGGGATAGCTGCTTAAATCAATGAACCTTGATTACAGCGGTCACATGATTTTATTCGAGTGCTGACATTGTTGATTATTTACAAACAAGCATGGGATTTGAATCTCATGGATAAATAAAATTCAATGTAACTGATAATTAGGAGTTATGTCATAAAATATGATAGGGTTCTGAAAATTGAAACATTGTACTGTGCTTTCAACTTAAGATTCAATATTATGAACCCCACCAGACTACAAACCCAAAGTTATTTTGTCCACTCCTATATTGAAACTAGAAAGGTGATATTGAAAACCATGTAACAAGCCTTGTGTCAAACAATTACCTGAATGAGCTGTTGTGTAGTGTAATAATTTGTCTTTTCTTTGAGCTCATCAATTTTTTCTTGTCTTTCAGCTCGCAGCCTTTCAAGAATTTTCTGGTCCCTGCGATCACCTATAAAATCACACATTATAAATTATAAATTCAAACAGTAAGGGACTTTTGCTAGCAATTGGCATATGAATTATAAATTTTTGAGCATTAATTGAGTGTGAGAAAACTGCACTATCAAATTGGAATCCAATGATAAAATGATTTTATTTGTGAAGTATAGCTCTTATAACTAATTATTATCAGTGAGAAATTACTTATTGGTATCAAATGCTGCTCTGTCATGCATCTTTCTTTAGACAAAAGTTTCATTAGAGTCGTTAGAACATGATTCCATGATTGAACTGCAGCAACTTCTAATGAACTTTAAAACCTACTGTGATCACTATATGCGCATGGAGCTTATGAGCATGACAGCATGAAGAATATCAGACATTCTTTCATACAAAGTACTAAACTACAGACTTTTAGCCTGGTTCTATCAAAATTATTGAAGGCATCGCTCACATAAATGAATCAACAATTATTGGCCTAAAATTCACTTTTGAAACTTTTCCATCCTAATTTTGTGAAAGAAAATACTAATGGCCGAGATGAATTGAAAGCTCTTAACAATAGTAAGTTCTATCATAAATAGGACCACCTAATTACATCAATTTGATACTTTCAACACAAACATCAACATAGATGACAAATGCAGATTATGTAACATTTAGTAGAAAATCACGGTAGATCAAACAGCAAACATCCAAAACATTGATTGTTAAATAGAAATAAAAACGTAGATCAGCTTCTGCAAGATATGCCTGCGAATTGTAAAGCTTAAAACACTTACACATCCTTGTGAAGCTGATAAATGCAGTATAGGCAACAGATGCCACTGCAGGCAAAAGAAACATTGGCAAAACCCGGATTGCTCTCATTTTCCAATTCAAGTCAATTGATCTTGTTGTCATAATAGCATAAACTACAGCAACAACCTGGAAGTTGAAACAATTTTAAGCACAAGTCCTTCTTTTTAATTACCGTATAAAGAAAAAACTAAGTAACAGGATATGACAACGAGACAAACTTATTTAGAAATAGAAAGACTAACTAACCACTTAGGTCGCCAGTCAGTAAAAATGAATAACCACTCTGATTAAATAATTCCCTCCCTAACTATGTAGAAATGTAAGTAACTTCCTCTTATGGTAGAGAAGTTTAGGATATAGGGTTTAATTATTCATTAGGTTGCTATATTTACAAAAACATTCCCTTTTAGTACATATACTTAAAATCCCCCCTTTAAACTCCTGTAGAAACCACTATTAATCTCTTTTAACCTTCGTCATAGAGAACAAAAATGCTTAAAATGATGCATAAAAAGACTAAAGAATTGAAATTGGTAAGTACTGGGACTAAAAAGAATTTTTTATATAATTATAAAAGACAAAATGAGAAATTAAACTTCAATATAATTTCAATGTGATGGTAGTAGAGAAGTTATAAAAGTTTTAATTCCTCTAAATATTCACATAGCAAAGGAACAGCTGAAGGTTTTATCATCCATCTGTAAAAGACAAAATATGATAAACTGAAAAACACATATCAATCTCACAATGAAACGTAGAGAAGCAAGCAACCAGGCATGCATTATTGATCGACACCAAATAATGTTGAATGCAAAGAAACGCAAAATCAACAATTACCACACCTCAAATATGACAGACAACATAATAAGATGGCGGGAAATTCTCCTCAAGGATCGCGATCTGCTGTTCATCCTAGTCATAACCTGAGCCTCCTCTTTAGAAATGTATTGGAGTCTCTTCTCGAAATCATCACCGTGTAACCTAAATATCCCGTTCCAAATTCGCGACAAGAAACCTTTGCGTTTCTTCTTCCCACCCCCGGAGGGACTCGTACCACCAATATCACCCTCACCAATCACTTTATCATTCGCCATCCCCTGAAAAAAAAAAACGATTCAAATTCGCTCCAACAATTCAGCAACTAACCGTCTCAACGAATTGATCGATGAATTCAAATAATCCAACAACGAAGGAGGAATCCGAATTGGAGAGACACACCTGCTTCTCTCGATGATCTTAATCACGCTATTCGTTCGGATCTCGCGAGTGCGTATAACGGTTGCGAGAGAATATGAGGAGTTATGTTCTGCTACTTGGCGCACGCGACGTGAACACGGATTGCGACACGATACAAACACGAAGGTTGCAACCTATTGGAACGGAATCGAATACTTGAATGCTACTCAATCATTCAATTCTCGTAGCGAATTTTCGAATTCCGAAGGTATAAGAATTGGGGAACAATATGAGAGGTGAGGTTTCTAAATTGGTACGAATGAAGGTAGGGAAACGAAAGCTTAACGATTGGGGTAACGTGAAAATGGTGGAGGAAAGGAAAAAAAAAATGAAAAGAAATAGCGTAGTTCTACGGTACGGGTATAGCAATTTTACAATCACGGTGAGGGTCGTTTGCTCTACGCCGACCAAGGACGCAAACTTTGATTCTAAGTTTAACTTGTAATAAAATTTGTTCAAAAACGATGGCTTAATTTCAGTTTTAATTTGAGAAGCTTCATGCAAAACTTTTTCTAATGTGTTGTTTTGTAGAGTTAAAATATTCAATAAAAAAAATTGAAATTAATGTGAATTTAAGTTAATATTTTGATATATTGATGCAGAAACATTAATTAGTACAAATCTAATTTAAAATACCTTTCAACATTTTTTTAACTATTATCTAGTAAGTGGTACTACGTTGTTGTTTTTTTAAACTAAATTGGTAATATGTTAGTTACTCTTAATTAATTATATGTAAAAGTATTATTGAAGAAGGAAACTTCATAAAAATTAAAAAGACTATTGTTTTGGATTAAAAAAATGTGTAAAATTTTACAGATTTATCATACACGATGATTAGTAATTAACGGCGTAAAATTACATTACGGTAGAACTACATAGTTTTTTTTTTTTATTAATTGAAAGTAAATAAAAAATATAATGTTGTTGGTGGAGTTTATTAAAGAAGAAGAAAAATTTGTATAATTTTAATCTTTTAATTAATAGTAAAAATAAATAAATTGTGTTGATGTGAGTAACTATTTCTTATTTAAATTTAAGGATGTATTGTTCGCAAGTGATATATTTTGAGAAATTTTAAATAATTCATTAAATTAAGTGTCAAAATTTAAAAATTACATTCTCTAATCACATTTCTTAAAGTTGAACCAGTGGTTTCATCTATGAATCATGAAAACTAGTTTTTATGTAGTTAATTCAATCCTAATAAAATTCAATTTGGAATGTCATAAAAAGCAGTTTAAAATTAATTTAAAAATTAGAATTGATTCTAAAATTGTAAAGATATATTAATTACTTAATTATATAAAATTCAATTTGGAATGTCATAAAAAGCAGTTTAAAATTATTTTAAAAATTAGAATTGATTCTAAAATTGTAAAAATATATTAATTACTTAATTTAAATATAATTGAGAGTCTTATAGATTATTTTAATATAAATTTAATTCAATCAACTTATTTATAGTTCTATCATCTTTTAATATATGCTATTTTTCTTTAAATAAACTTTTATTTTTAAATTAATATTTAATATACGTTTTATATTAAAATTAAAAGTAATAATAATAACAATAAAAATAATAATTTATTATTTTTACTAAGATGGAAGATTTAGAAACAAAATTTTTGACATCCAAAATGTAGATTTAATAATCTGTGATTTTTGAAATTTAATAAATAAATAATTAATATATAAAAGATAATAATAAATATTTTCAAAATACAGTCAATACAATTATAATTATTTTAATAATACTTGTTCACATTTCTTTTATAACCACTAAAAAATTTTTGGAATCCGATCGATTTATTTGAGATTCCCAATCACAATACACTATTAAATAATTAATTGAACAATACACTTTTATATATATATATATATATATATATATATATATATATATATATATATGACATTATAAAATTCATAATTTTTTAGATTTTTTTATCCACAAATAAGATATTAAAATAAGTTTAATTTAATGGTTTAGTCTAAATCAGATTAGATTAAAAAAATTATAATTTAAATAGAATTAGACCAATTTTAATTTAATATATTTAAATCAAGTTTAAATGAATTTAAATTATATTAATCCATAAAATGATGGGCGAAATAATTTTATAAAATATTAATTATTTTTATAATAAAATAAAAATAACATTATTTTAATATATATATATATATATATATATATATATATATATATAATTTGAGAAGAATAATAAACTTTAAATATAAATTTCATTAGTTATTGTCATCTCATCTTATTATTATTATCTTCATATTTATTTTTATTATTTTCATATTTATTTATAAAGAATAATAATTTAAAATAATATATTATTAAATATAATATATTTTTAAAATATCATAAAATGATAATAAAACTAGTTTATTGAATGAATAAAAATATTACTCTAAAATCTATTGAAATATAATTGTTAATATATTATTAAGCATAATAAAAACACTAAACAATACGTTATCTAATGATTCTAATAAGGTTAAATTTTTAGATAATTATAACTCTTAAATTATTTTTATAATTTTACATAAAAAACTTAGTTTGGTTAAATAGATTATAAATTTATTTTAAATAAAAAATGTACTTTTAATTAAATAAAAAAATCCGTTAACCATTGATTTAGGCAAAATTTTGCCTAACATTAATTTGTTTTGTTCAGTTGACCGTAGGACCATTTTGACAAGCCTATTCATAAATTCATCTTAAATAGACTCTTCCATTATATTTTTTTCTTGCAAACATTGGAGGACGTGCAAGCACAGAGCAGAATATTTAATTATATTCTGAATAAACTTTATTGTGATAAGATAGGATATTATCAAATTAAAAAGCAGTTAGTTAACTTATTTTCCAACATATTTTTTAGAAAATCAAACACTGTATATGATATCTGATATTTTGTGGACACGTGCCTTTTCATTGTTGCAACACCACAAAATTTGCAACTACAACACACACATCCAATGATCCTTAAAAAACTGGTAAAACCAGATTGGACTTTGATCTGACCGCAATGCATTAGTGATATATAGGAGCAAATAAGAAAGTGTTTGTGAATTATTATTTAGGTAAATTCTTAATTATTTTTAAAGTTGAATTGTTAAGTTGAATAAAACATTTAAATTTTTAATTAATTATATTTAACTACTTAAATAAGTTGAATCCAAATTTTAATGGCTAAAATATACTGGTGCTTGATACAACAGTAGAAATTTTTAGAATGCTGATAGCTACCATATTTCTTCCCTTCAAATTTATCTCCTGTTCCATCTTTCATTTCCTCTATCGTTGGTTCTTCTTGAACCAAGAGACTTGTCCTTAATGTTTCCACTAGCTGTTCCAAACTTGAGAGGCACAATTTGAGGAATGTACATATTTCCAGGGAAGTTCCTTTTCTCCTTTGGGATTTTTCGCAACTGTGGCAACCAGTATGCAACATATTCACCTTCAGGGTCATATGTTTGTGCCTGAAAAAAAAATGTAGGATAAGATCGTATCAGTTCAAAAATTTAAGATCACTTTAGTTTCCAAGCCGTTTGTTAGTAAGAACTTTATCTAATATGCATTATGTAGAGTGATCTCTAGCAAATATCCTAAGATTCAAAACCATTCATCATACACCCAAAATGAAAGTACCACCTTCACAGCTACAAGTATTTGTTATGATTGCATTTGACATATAGAAGGTTCATATTACTTCCCTAAACTTCTGGGAGAGCAAGTCTATGACATCAAAATATGACCAAGTGACCAAAATTTTGATAGTTTCTACCTCTTACAAATAATAGTTGAAGCTTACCATAGGATAAGTTGGGTATATGAAACTTACAAACACGACCTAATAACAAAGATAGGTCTAACATAACTATCACGAAGATAGGTCAACAAAATTGATTTGGTTAAAGATTGCTTCCATATGTATAGTATTATTTGTCTATTTTTCTAATAAATGGGGCATCTCCAACCCCGTCATGCCAATTACTAAACATCTCCGACGTGAGCCTAAATATCTGTAGATGATTTGATAATGACTCAGTGGCAGATCGTATAATAAGTTGAGCAAATCTCATTAATGTAAGTGGTGATATTATCTTAGAAAGTGAATAAACCTAATTCAATCCTACAAAAATATCTTATAAAATGATATTTGCACTCACTTGTATACTCTATTTTTACCATCTCCCAACATCTCATTTACATTTGAAGCCCAAGGAGCTCAAGTAGGATAATATGCAGTACATTAGGAGGTATAAAATCATTCATGATCTTTAGCAGTTCAAGCTTATAGGAATATTGGTCCATATTAAATCATAATGACACTAAAAATGCTTAAGACCAATAAAGCACCCAACCAGATGCTCTTCAACAGTGAAAATTACCCAGTGCACATGGTTTCTGTAGTTGTTAGTGAAGTTGAGGATCACTCTGTTAAATTATGTATTGTGAAACATTGAAACTTACCTGTTTTGGGATGCTGAAATACCGATCTTCTCTCGGATCGTTCCCAACTCCTGAACAGGAAGAACAGAAGGAGTATGGGTTGTAATATTTATTGTTTAAAAAATTATGAACAGAACAGTAATATGGGCATAGCATATTATGAATCTGAGTAAGCTTAATATACACGAATACAAGCAACTAAATGTCAAACTAGCAAGAGAATCTGAGTAGTGCAAATAATACTATTCATCAAAATGGCCATAATAACAAGTGATGAAATGGCCCAATTCATTATTTACTACAGCCTGGTAGATTAGAAGGCACACACTGTAACAGGTAGAGATTCGAAGGATTATACTAGATATAAATAGATACGTTTTCAAAAATTTTAAAAAAAATATGAAGATAAATAACGTGGTACATGCACTGTAGAATCGTGCATTTAGCATAGTTATCCAAATTTAGTCAAGTTACCTGATCCGTAAGTCCAGTTTCCATAATTAGAACATGGATCATAATCCAAAAGACATGTCTCAAACCATTCTGCTCCCATGCGCCAATCTATGCCCATGTCACGAACAAGAAAGGAACATACAATCTATAAAGAAGGTAATTAAGTCATGTTTCAATTATAAAGCTGTTTGCAAAATCCTAATAAAATAAATAATATCTATATTGGTCCACGAATCAATATTGTATAAATTTCTAGCATTGATTATGCTTCAGAGACACAATAATTGGCTCACGTTCACACCTGCCGTCCTCGATTAGACATAAACCCTGTAGTCGATAGTTCTTTCATGTTGGCATCTATGAGAGGATACCTACAGGTTTAGGCCAAAAGAAAACAAAATTAGAGTGAATACAATGTCAATTCACTTCGTAAATACACATGTTCATGCTCTAACTCTTAGGTACATTAACACAAAAAGTACTTTCAATTCAGAGATGAGAAAAAGATTTAAACTGGTCGATATGAAGAAAGTGAGGAAGTAAGCACTTTAAAGAGATAGAAGATTATAAGACACATTAGAAGGACAACTTTTAGGTTGAAGTTACAAGACAACAAACAAAGTATCAAGCAACAGTAATTGTATCAAAATAAACAAGAAATTTCAGTAACACTCTGAATCTCTGATAGAAATTGTACCCGGTACAACCATCTCTCCAGGATTCAAACAAATTTTTGTCTTGGCTCCAGGAGCGATGAACTTTCCTGGGGCCACCTGAAAAGCAGAACAGATTTTACCTAAGATATATGAACAAATTATTTTAACAAAAGTGTTCTAGAAAGATGTACTGTCTCAGTTGCACATCAGAACCGCTACCTAAGGATAACTTCCAGGTTCAAAACCAGAAGAATTTATAAACCATAACTCTATAAACACCAGAGGCATCAAATACCTCAACCTATCAATACCTAGATGGAAAATCGAATTCCCATATTTCACTGACAAAAACCTAAAGTAATCCCTCCATATCAACTCGAACAAAACCCTGTAAAAGTAAAGATAAGTTTAGAAGAAGAAAACATAATGAGAAGGAGGAAGAAGTCAAACCTGCAAATTCATTCTATTCACTGAATTCATTTTATCATAAACAAAGAGAAAGAAAAAAAAAAAAAAAAAAAAAAGAACTATTCTGCAAAAAAAGTCTTTTCTGGGTGAAGTTAAAGTAACTTCACAAAATTCAACAAATCAGACAATTTATATTTTAGGAATAAATACGAAACTGGTGGTAGGAGAATGATGCTGTTTTCGTAATATGATGCATATATACATTAATAAGAAAGATGCAATGTTACCGCTTACCAGTAGGTAGAACTATTTGCTAGTCTTTCGTTCTCATATCTCTTCACCTATAAAAACAGAGTGAACTTTGTCAATTCATGCACTCCCATTCCTTAGCTCTTGTACAATGCACAAAAAAGATATCATTGGTAGTTTAACCTCTTCATATATGAAACGAGGAGACAAACTTCCTGAGGCAAGCCATGGTGAGAATTTGGTAGAATAATCAGGCCCTAACATCCCATTCCTGGTCTCTTTATAAACCTTCAGCAAATCCTACATATGAACATTCTTAAGAATGCATTAGATAACCAAATAAGGGCAGGAATTAATGTCACCAAAGTCATATTTTAGGTTTTAAAAGTAGTCTTAATCGAGTCCTAAAAGAAATGTATTCGAATTTTCTCTTATAATTTTTCTTATTCTTGTGCCATACGAAATTAAATAGCTACCCATGTATTCTTTATGCAAGGTCACAGCAAACCCTACATGTCAAGTTGACCGACCAATATATATGCTAATTCATTCATTTCATGAAATATGTGATAAATTCCATAAAAATAGGGAACTAATCACTATCAAATATCACTATTGCACTAACTCACTGTTTACACAAAGGCCATATGCAGCAACTGCAGTGACATAATTACATAAATTGGATCGAAGTTGTAAATTTGAGATAACCAACCTTCTTCCAGAAGTATTCATATACTCTGCTTAATGCCGCTGTTTCACCCCCCACAAACTTCATCCCCTTGATGACCTAAATTATGAGTGCAAAATAAATTAAAGAACAAAATTCGTTACTTTATCATCCCTGAAAGGTGTCTAAAATTAGATATGGAAAAACCTACATTTTGTGAGCAAAGTCCAAGCTGCTCTAATGATGGAAGGCATCCCCAGTCCTCAACTAAGGGAGGTGGTCCAAGAGATGCTGGTAGTTTGATGCATGAGCGTATGCTACATTTGGCTTCAACAATCTGCAACATTCGAATCTCATTAGTATGCATAACTGGCAGTCAAAACAAACACTCAATTTAAAAATAGCATGCCTTGCGAAATTGAGTATACACATCTGGCAAAGAAGTGGCATCAAAAGGGAGATCATCAAGGTGGTACATGGTAGAACCCCAAACTAATTGCAACTTAGTGATATTGTTTGAAACTGTGACACTACTGGATTCTTCTGGTGATGTCACAACTTGTTCAAGACCTCTGATGACTAACCTTTCCACATTCAGCTCCTCACTGCATGTTTCTTTCTGAGCATACACCTGATAATTTTATATTCATTAATGATCCCTATACCTTCAACCATGAAATTCCATCAATTTATCAGGCTTGAAATTCAAAGACTTACTATATGAGCTTGAAATGCTTTTGCGAGAGAAGGAAGAATATCCTCAGGCTTCCCATGTTGTACAAGCAAATTAAGTCCTTTCTTCATCAAATTATTCCTCAAGTCAACCAAGCACTCAAGGATAAATTGCGCTCTCAATGCTGCACAAAAGTTACGTGAGTGATTCAATGCTACTGCTAAAATTCAGGGAAGAAAAAAAAAATTCTACAAGCTACAATGAGCTTAGGCGTAAGTTCAAATCAACTTTGGAAACCAATATTAGATAGATCCTATAGATTAGTTATATGATATTTGAGATAATTATATACACACACGCAAATCATAAACGTCTATAACAACAACAAAGCAAGAAGTAAACTTTGACTCAGTTCTTTGTTTCTGATATTGTTTACGGTAAGAATTGAAAATGTGAACTTGGAGTAACTACCAAGCTAAATCTCTAATTTTGATTGAAAAAGAACACTAAAACCACCTAAAAGTTTGATCGGTAAAAAACACCAAGATATTGCATTTAACTACGTACTGAAAAAACGGCATCTAAACTGCTGCAGAAGAAAAGGTGCACATGTGCATGTGTATGGATTATATAACAGTACCACCGGTTTTGGGAAAACCGAAATGATAGGTAGTGGCAAAGAGTCGAGGGTCAACGCAGTAGACAGGTAACACGGTTTCGGAGGAAAGCCATGCTTTATAGAGAGCCTCATTGTCCAAAACTCTGAGATCATTCCTGAACCACATAATGGCCGTTCCTTTGCCACTCCTCTTGGTGTTCCACGTGTACCTTCGAAACGTGTTGTCTGCTACACGGTCCATATCGTTAGCATCTTGCTCGGGCACCTCGTACGTTGATGAGGAAGAGGCTGAGGAGGACGACACTGATTCGGACTTGGCAAACGTGTTCATCGCCAGGAACAACGGATTTGTTGTTGTTGTTGTTGTTGGGTTTGTGAGTGCTGAGGTTAACGTGGACTTGCAGGAATTGAGACTGGTTCTTCTGAGGGAAAGAAATGGAAAGGGGGTGCATTGAAGAATGGCCATGTACAACGTTAGTTGGGCTTTTGCTGAGGGTGGGAGTAATCAAGCAGTTGAAAGTGTGACACGTGGCGTTCCGGGTTTGGTGTGACGTGGCTATTTGCTAGCCTATGGATCTACTTACTCATATTTTTTATAAGCCCAAACATGTTTGTTTTCACTTTTTAGAAATGAAAACGGGGTAGGAACAGCAAATCGGGTTGGGCTTGGTCCAGCCCAATAAAAAAGAAGTACGTTCGACTTGTTTCCAGAAAATTCGCCAACGTTCACTCCGTTTTCATTTCAATTATTTCTTCCATGTTCGTTGGTATATAATCGTATAAGTAGTGTTACTGATTATTGAGCATTGATTCTGTATTGGGAAGATTCTGAAAAGCTTGATTTAGGTTGTGAGTATGATGGTGAAGATGTCACCGTACGACAACGTTGTGGTTGAGAAATTGAAGCTGAAGGGAAAAGCGTTGGACGTAAAAGCTTGTGGTGTTAAAAAGAAGAAGAAACGAGATAAGAGATACCATAATTTCTCACAAACTACTTCAGGTGAACATAATGTACTTCCCCTTCTTTTACTTTTTAGATGAGTTTCTTTTGGGTATGATTAAAGTGTGCAAGTTTCTTTTGGGCAAAGGAAATTATTTTATTTCACCTCTAGAGGAAATGTGTCATTTATCACTTAATGCTAAAGAAAAGTGGGTCTTGAATATTGCTTGTGTCTGTTTAAAGAGTAGTACGGTATTTGTATATCTAGAGGAGATGTATGTTGATGTTGTTAGAAAGCATTCTGGAAAGCATTAGAATTACTCTGTCTAATTTATTAAGGTTGATGGCTTTCTATCCTTATTATGTTACTAATAGGCAGGGTGATTACAAGATTTATTGTTTCATTTAGAGTGTGTATGGTACAGTTGCGAAAATGATATTATTACTTCAATAATCGATCATTTAAGTGATTACTGTTATTATCAAATATAATCAAAAGCAGATTCTTAAGGTAAACATATTTATAATGATTCAAAGATAACTGATTCGTTTGGATGAAAAAATTCAGCTTTTACATTAGAAAAACTGAGTATAAAGTTCAAAAGAAAAGGAACTAGTAAAAACATAATCATAAGATACATATTCTTAGATTTATGAAAACAAACTTATTTTTTACAGAGGAAAAAAAAAGCATTTTACTAAGCGGATGTTCCAAACACGCAGCTTTTTATATAAACATTTTATTTTGAAACAGTTTAAAATGGAAAAATAAGCTTGTTCAAACACACGTAGTTGGAAAGATATTCTCGTGGTGATGAATTAGTTGGTGGGGCTCTTGCCCATCATTCATAAGATCTGGTGATATATACTGGCATCAGGTAAGGTAGCTATCTAATGGTGTTAATGATAGTGGGTGGTGTCTGCAAAACATTAACATGCTATTCAGAGTGCATGCTTGCCATATCTTGAGCAGGTGGTTAGTGTAGTTTATGGAGACTTAGGGATAGTTGGGGGACAAAGGGAGCAAGCGTAAGAGATGGATGATGTGTGCAAAACATCGTTGCAGTGTGGCTTCAACATATTATTTTTGCAAGCCACTTGATATTGCCATCTTATTTGATCAAATGTTGATTACCCCTTTCAGTATTGTTGTTTTCTTTCCTATTAGTCATTATATTTGGTTATTGAAAATTTCTTCTTGTCTCAGGATGGAGTGATGCAGACTGCTAAAGATCTCAAAGGCAAAGAAAGAAACATTGAAATATGGTCAAAATTTGAATCTGTGTCATACACCTTTTCTTTAGGTTTATATTGGTTTTGTTTAAATCTTTTTACTTAGTTGATAAAATTCTTGTGCCTGTATATTCTTTTGAGGGTTTCTTAACTTATGTGAACTTAAAAACTTCTGATATTTCCAAACTAACAGCTGGGTTTAGAATTGGGAGTTCTTTTATCTCGGCGGGTTAACCTGTTAAGAAATTCTCAATCATTCTTCATTCAGTTTCCAATGTCTTTAAAACGACAAAATATTGTGATGGATTACTATTCATCTTTAACTACTGGCCTATGCACACCTTGAATAAGTGGCCTCATCGCTATTACTTACAATTTTTCTTCTAGTTCCTTTGTGCAACATTTCTTAAATACAGGCAATCTATTTGATCATGCTCTGATTGTTCTGCCTCTTACACGAAGTTTTAAATTTAGGAATGCCTGATATGCCTGATATTCATGTTCTGATTTTTGCTCATTCATCGTGATAATAAATTAGTTTAAACATGTTTGAGTTTCTGACATCAATTCGAGTTCTACTGTAGGCCTACCTTCCTCTCTTTAATAATTTCTTTTGTTAATGATATATTTATATTTTCTTTTTCATCTTGGAAATGTTAGGTATGTCAATGGATCATCATGAAGAGAGCATGAATGATGCATCATCTAATGATCATCTTACTCCGGCTGAGAGGCGATTTCTCCATCAGACACGGAAACTTGAGCTTCAAAGGCTAGCAGAGATGGCGACCAAGTCTCATCGTGACAGGGTTCATGAGTTCAATCAGTATCTGGCCAATCTCAGTGAGCATTATGATATTCCCAAAGTTGGGCCTGGTTAAGGAGACTCTGTCGTTTTAATCTTGATTCTATTAAATATTTCTACTTTTAAGTTTTATTAACCTTTTTGAATTTGAGAGATTGAGAATGATTCCTGTACATTGGTTTGAACCAACGTATACTATGAGACGATAGATGTTTTTAGTTTGTAATATTATTATCTTTCATGTTATTGGTGTCTAAATAGAAGTTAGTAAAATTATATAAATTTTGAGAGTTAAAAAAAAATTATCATGCAGAGCAAAAACATATTACCTATTATTTTTAAGCATAATTTACTTTCTATTTAACGGTGTACACGGTATTTCTTTATATTTGTAAAGAGAACTGCATTCTGTATGAAATGCTAAAACATCACGATGAAAACCTTAATAGAGAAATTCTTTTTATATAAGGATTTGTTTTTGTCCTGGTTTTATTTATAAGGATCAAACCAAAAGAAGTGAAATATATATCTATATATAGAAATTATAAACATATTTTAAATGTCAAATTAATTGTCTGTTTTTTAATATTTAGCAGATGTTATTAATATTTTAAATAAAATACACTCTTTTCTTCAAATATTCGAATAAAACATTGTCTTCACCTCTTAACTTCTTGTAAAAAATGTTTATTTATTTTACTAATTACTGTTATAATTTAGTAAGTAAATTAAACTACTCTTCAAGAATGCCGACAATATACAATATTTTCCCTTATGTCAAATTTACACGTGTGTTATAGTAAATCTTTTTTACATTTTTTTATGAAAAATGTGATAACTAAGTATTAAATATAGCTTATTAATCTTTTTAGAAGTGTAGTAAATTGAGTGATTTCTTTCCAATACGCATTCTCTTTTTCCTAAAGATATAAATATACTGAAAAAATATCAATTTATAATTTACACAACTTATTTACGTTATTAAGTAATGATTTCATATCAACTGTAACTTTTATTACATTAATATATAAATTATAGCTGTGTATTAAATATTGTTTATTTCTAACTTTAGAAGAAGAAAAAATTGACGATAATAAAACATTAATCAAATTATTTTTATTTGTGTATATTTTAAAAATATACACTATGCTGTGTATTAAAGAAACATCAAATATTTTTTATTAGTATATAATTTTATAAAAATGTAATTTGACTGAAAGTGAATTTTAATAACAAATTATTTAATAAAAAAACTAATACATTATGGAATAATTAATGTAAGTTACATTAACATTAATTATAGGGAAAAAGTTATACTTTTAGTAGTTGAGGGGTTTTAATGAGAAAGAATAATTAATGAAAAAGAGAAAATGAGTGAGGCATAGATAGTAAAAAGAAAATAATAAAAAAAGTCGAGACATAAATGTTGATATTCTTGCATGTGATCGATATCCTTTACATTGTTGATGATATTATTGGAAAAATGTGTTTAAATTTTGATTTGGTAAAGAAAACCCAGTGAATCCTATATTTAAGAATAGAGCAAGGTTGTTAGTAAGTTGAGTGACAAAAAGTAGCTCAGAGAGAGTTTAAGTAATACTTTTTTCATTTAATAAATTGAAAAAAAAATCCAATTTTAAAAAAATGTTCTAAAAATATTTAAAAACTTTTTAATGGTATATTACAATGTATATATATTATTTATTTAATTATTCATCGAGAAAAATCAAAATTTTAAACCATAATAATAGTAATAATAATATAATATTTTGTTCATAAAAAAAAAAATTAGTAATTTTTGCATTCTATATTAGCTAACAGCTTGGAACATTTTTGTGTGAATAAACAGAGCGTACCTACGTGGCCCTTCCGCGCGTTTCTGTTTCTTGACAGAAACCATGCATCACCACCCAAATCGTAACAACCCTAACAACCACCTAAAAAAAACACCAAAGAGCTCCTATAAATACCCTTCACAACCCCATACACTACATCAACCATCTTGGCTTCAGCATCTACCAATAAACACAAGAGTTAAGAAAAAAAAAAGGAAGAGAAGAAGAAGAGGAAATAAAAAAAAAACTCATAACAAAAATGGGTTTCAGAAGCTCTTCTCTTCTCGCCATGGCTCTTGTGGTCGCCATCTGTTCAACCATCCACGCGCTGGACATCACCAAGGAGCTCAGCGCATATCCCGAGTTCGCGCTGTTCAGCAAAGCCCTTACCGAAGCCAAGCTGGTAGACAAAATAAACGCCCTTAACGCCGTCACCATCCTCGCCATCGATGACGCTGCCACGGCTACCCTCGCCGGGAAGTCCCCCGACGCCGTCAAGGCCATCCTCAGCACTCACGTCCTCACCGACTATTACGACGAGAAGAAGCTCGTCGAAGCCCAAGGAAGCCACTCTCTCGTCGAGACTCTCTTCCAATCCTCCGGCGTCGCCAAGAACAACCAGGGATACATCTACATCATGCTCATCAACGAAGGCGAGGTCGCATTCGGCTCCGCCGCCTCCCCTCCCGGCATCGACTTCGATGTCGTCCTCGTGCACACCGTCACCAACCAAACCGGCGTGTTTTCGATTCTTCAGGTCAACAAGCCCATTGTTCCAGCTGGCATTGATATCTCCAACGTTACGATTCCACAACTCGCCGGCGATAAAACTGCAGAGACTCCTTCAGCTTTAGCTCCCGCCACCGCTCCCAGCTCCGCTTCTCGCGTCTTCATTGGACTCCTTGGTGCAGCTTCCGCTTTCGCCGCCTTCTTCCTCGCCCTCTAAACGATGGCGTTTCGGGAATTAATTTAATTAAAAAAAAAGAGAAAAAAACTATTGATGTTGTGTGCCATGGATTACGAGTTACAATAGCGATTTCTTTTTTTGCTTTTGGTTGACGAAAACACTTAATTACTCGTGTTTGTGAAATTCGTATTGAATTGAAACGGCAACATCATTCATTATTTCTTCTAACTCTCTCTTTCTATTCTCTTCTCTTCTCTGTGCCGTTAAATTTGTGCTTTCAGTTTAAATTATCATTGCATGTGCTTAACTAATACTACTTCAACGCAAATAGATCCTAAAGTTGTTTCAAACAAACCTTTATATAATAAACTTGCTCATTTTAAATAAGTTTTTTCAAAACAAACCCTTGTATGGATTTTTAAAAGGAAAATATTTTCCTGATTTAATATTATAATAATAGTTTTATTTTATTTTTATTTTTATTAAATCAGTTTATAGATTATTATAGTAATAAAAATGAGTTGTTGAAAGAGTTGTATATTAATAAAAATGAATTGTTGGAAGAGTTGTATGATTTTTTGTTGTGAAAATATCACTACTCTTTTAAAAAGTTAACAATACAAAATCTCACTACTCTTTTAAAAAGTTAACAATACAAAATCTCATTTGCTTCTCCAAATACTAACTTGTAATAATCATTTTGAGTATATGCTTGCAATACATTACACAACGTATTGCTGATTCATGACAAAAAATATATTATATTCTTATTTACTTCTTATAAATGTATTTCTCATCTTTTAAACTTGTTGGTATAAATAAAATAAACTGACGTATTTAACAAAAATCAAAATTATGTATAATAAATAATATTTTAAAAAGTATTTTAAATTGAAATGAAACACATAAAGTATTAATGCGTGGATCAGTTGTAGGAGCACAAAATTATTTTTCGAACTTATCAATGTAGGAACTATGGTATGGGATGTAAAGTTATGAAATTTATGTAACATTATAGATGGATAAGTTTAAGGTAAATATGTTGTAAAATATATATATATATATATATATATATATATATATATATATGATACATAATTTAAATGTGTTAGGGTTATTATTTATTAAGTCAAATAATAAAGTGATCTAACTAAAATAAAGTTTTGACTAAAGGCATATGTCATCAAAATAAAATTGTGTAGAGACCATAGAGTAATTTCTAATTTGATGAGGGGTCAAATTGGAAATACTAAAACTTAAGTAATTAACTTATTTAAAGGGTCATGGTCCCCTTTTGGGAGCACACACAAACGTAAGTTTCAGTCCCGTTCTTTTCTTTCTATCACCATCAAGAGAGAAAATTTAAAGGGATAATACAGGTGATCTCCAGGTGGAAGACCATAAGATAAAAAATGCTCTACAAAGGATATCATCATCAAAAGTGCTCTACAAAGGATATTATCATTATGGCTAATTCATGTACGCTTTCACATTCAGTTTACAACATGTTTATGAGTATGAGATTATATTTATATTTGATCGTTAGAATGAAGATCATAATTAATTACAATTTATCTATCAATTGGTATCAGAGCAACTCATACTTGATTCATGTCTGTGTTTAGAAATTAAATTTAACAAAATTTAGATTCTATTTAAATTGAGAACCCTAGGTGGAGAATAATCTCCAAATTTTGTAAACCCTAAAATCAAATTTGGGGTAAAATTGCCCCGTGAGTTCAGCGTCACATTGTCGCCGGTGAGGAATCTCTGGCGACACCGCAAGGTTCCGGTACACGAACAAACAGGAGCATAGGTCAGCGATCAGGATCTCGTGGATCGTGGCGGAGACGATGCGGCTTGGGATGAAGGACGTACGGTGGTTCATGGTGGACATCGACGACAAGGAAGTCAAGGCGCAGATCTGGGACACTGCGGACCAGGAGCGCTTTCGAGTTGTCACTTCCGCTTAGTCTAATTCATCCTTTTGCTTGGACTAATTCATCCTCCATCAACGTAGTCCTCCCAATGCTCTTCGGAGCAGTATAAGGTGTCAAGGATGGATTTGAGGGTGGTTAGCCATTGTGGATGATGGGTGTTTTATGGGATGGAGAGAATAGGAGTGTGAGAGTCTAGTGTTAGTTCCAGACCCGAATCAAAGATGGGTCATGCACCACAATTACTCGACACGTAACAGTTGTACCCTACAATTTAATGGATCCCTCTTTCCCCTCTTTCACACAATTAATCCTCAACATCGTGTTATATTATGTTGTTATGTGTTACAAATACTATCAAATAATTAATTTATGGAATGTTTAAACCGTGGTAGAGGTACATTATACAATTCATTCAATCAGAACCAACAGTATTTTTTTTAATAAATAAATAATTATATAAATTTGGTTTTGTTATATAAATAAAATATTAATTTTTTGGTAGTTTAATATTTTTGTGAAAAAATTGAGTCAAGAAGTTACCAAAGTAACCTTTCTTGAATTGGGTAGTTCGTTAAAAATATTGAATGTTAGTGTTTGTGTATATTCATGCGAGTATTAGTCGGTCCAAAGGAAGTTTAATATTTGGTCGAATTGCATATACACTTGTAATGATAAACATGTGATAATTATAAGGATTTGCTTTGTCGATGATAAATCAATCCAAAGACTGGTTTGTTGTTGGACGTGCTTTATTGTCAATGTTTGATTATTACAACAAGATACCTCTAGCAGTTAATATTACTGTCCAAAGACTTGATATTGATGGTGCATTGGGTGTCTTGAGATGAGTTAAACTATTATTTGAATATTTATAATTATTTATTTTTTATAATGTGAGTATAATTAATTTATTTCTCTTGTTCTTAATTAAGCTACAATTGTTTCTGTATCTGCTAATTTAAATTCTGTTCCGATCCTCAAAAGTATGTTTCCTATTTTGGTCTGTTCTGAAGTCAATTTAGCGTCAGTACCTAGTAACACTTGGTGGTTAGACTCAAGTGCAACTACTAACATCAGTGTTTCTATGAAGGGTTGCCTAAGCTACCGGAAGTCAATTGATTTTGAAAGATGGATATATGTTGGAGATGACAAATCGGTAGAGGTGGAAACTATAGGGCATTTTAAATTGTTATTGAGTACTGGATTTTATTTGGATTTGAAAGACACTTTTGTTGTGCCGTCATTTAGACGGAATTTGATTTCAGTTTCTTATTTGGACAAATTAGGTTATTTGTGTTCATTTGGAAACAATAAGTTCAGTTTGTCTTTTAATTCAGATATTGTTGGAACTGGTTCACTTTTGCCTTATGATGATCTGTATTTACTTGATACTGTGACCACCTATAATGAAACCCTTAATACAGAATCACAGGGTACTAAACGTAAAATTGATGATACTCACCCAGAAGCATTATGGCACAGACATTTAGGTCACATCTCTAAAAATAGAGTTGAACGACTTGTGTTAAATGGAATCTTAGAGTCCATTGACTTCACAAACTTTGATGTTGGTGTTGAATGCATTAAGGGCAAACAGACCAGAGCGAAGAGATTAGGTGCATATAGAGTTATAGACATCTTAGAGTTAATACATACGGACATTTGTGGGCCATTTCCTACATATTCGTGGAATGGTCAACAATAATTTATATCATTCATAGACGATTACTCACGATATGCATACTTATTTCTTATACATGAAAAATCATAATCTCTGGACGTATTCAAAATATTTAAAGCTGAAGTTGAAAATCAACTCAACAAAATAATTAAGTCTTGTTAGGATCGAGTGCTTACCATTAGGCCAAAAGCTATAGCCATTAGTCAGAGCGCAACTCTTTTTACTTTAACAGCCCAAGCGCCACGATTCAATTATGACTCGGCCCACCTGACCTTCATCACAGGACAATTGATGCTACCTGCAACAATCTCCCCCTCAGCAATTGTCCTACAAGGTATCCCACTCTTGGATTGTGACTTGGCCCACTCGGCCTCCGCCACGGGACAATTGTGCAACCCGCAACCATCTCCCCCTCAACAATTACCCACTAGGAATCGAACTCGTGACCTTGGCTCTGATACCAATTGTTAGACAAATGACATCTAGAGGGGGTGAATAAATGCACAAATTGAAATAGATGTCAAATTAAAAATTTATTTGTGAGTCAATAATTTGTTAAAGCGAAAGCAATAATATAATCAGGAAAAGAGAAAGAGATAAGGGAAAGAGAAGAGCACACAAAGATTTATACTGGTTCGGGTATAGCCAACCCTACATCCAGTTCCCAGTCAACTCTTAACACAAGAGTGACTCCCCATTCACTATCTTTCAAATTCAGTTTACAAATTACAATCAACTCAGCAGAAGAACTAGTAAAAAGTAAACTAATTAAAAAGATAATCACCTCCTTAGAAACCCACTAAGGATGAACACCTCCCTAGAATCCCACTAGGGATGAACACCTCCTCTGAACAAATCAAAGGATGAAAAACACCTCCTTAGAATCCCACTAAGGATGAACCCCTCCCTAGAATCACACTAGGGATGAAAAACACCTCCTTTTCCACCAATGCAAAAAGGATGAAGGTAACAAAAATAAGAACAGACACACTTGGATAATGGAGACAATAAATTGTAGAAGCCTGTAGAATGTCAATCTCCAAGAACAAGTGTGATTAACAATGAAAGCACAGAAGGCAGTAGAGAAGAGGGTTTTCTCAAAAGGTGTAAAATATCTCTGTTACCTTGCTCAGAATTCTTTTCTCGAAAATGATTGAATGTGAATTGTATTTTCGAATTCTGTAATTGTGTGTTTTTTATTTTTCATCAAAACTTAATTAAATAGAAAAATAGCATCAGAAAATAGTCGTTAGACATTAATAATATCATAGAGAAAATCAGGATGTATTAAAAAATATTTATTCTTTAAAACAAATATATTTTTCAAATTTGAATTGCCATAATTGATTATATTACCAGTATAATTAACTATGATAGAGAAATCATTTTTCCATTTCTAATGCATCATAATTAATTAT